TAAATAAAAAGAAAGGAAATTCTGATACATGCTACAGCATGGATGAACCCTGAGGACATTATGCTAAGTGATAGCAGTCACAAAAGGACAAACACTATATGATTCCACTTATGTGAGGTAGGCAGAGGAGTCAAAGTTATAGAGACAGAAAATAGAATGGTGGTTGCCGTGAGGGGTGGGGGAATGGGAAATTATTGTTCAATAGGGCTGGAATTTCATTTTGTAAGATTAAAACTTCAGGAGTTGGATGGGTGGTGATGATGGTTACACAACAATGTGAATGTACTTGCATACTTAGAAATGGTTAAGATGGTAAATTTTATGCTATGGGTATTTTACCACTGTTTAAAAAATTAATTTCACCTGTTTCTTTTTCATTTTATGATAAGGCTACTAGAAAATTTAAATTACCTGCGTGGCTCACACCCACAAGTGTATTTCTCTGGGACTATGCCGGTGTAGGACATGTCTTCAACATGTTAAGTCAGTGGAGTCCTCTGAAAGCTGATGAGGTTAACAGGTGGAAGAAGATCCATGAAAGAAGGACGCAAGGATAAAAATAATTGGCACCATTCAGGGCAGGATGTGAAATTTGGCAGGTGTGTAGTCAGTAGAGAGAAGGCCTCGTGTGGGTGCAATTAGTCAGCGGTTTGCAAAGCCTTCCTTTGGGGGATTCCATGCTCAAAGAATTGTGAGGACTCATCTTCCAAGGTCCCCTGCACATGGGGCATAATTATTCGGAATATTCCATACAGTAAACAATACCTTTGTCACATTTGGGTATATCCATTAGTTTCTTAGAGTTCGGTTAGTTGGACTCGGTCCCTGAGCCCATTACTGAGGGTGTCTGCCCTTCTGGAAACCAGACCCTGTCCCCAGGGATCAATGCAGACTCTAACTGGAAGTCACTGATCCCTGAGGGAGGACTGTGCCTCAGTTGCTGTAGAACACGTGAAAACTTTATGGCACAGGATGGATCCCCAGAATTAATCCAGACAAGTTCTCCAATGCAGGCCATGCGGCTGCTCTCTGACACAGCCCTCCTCCACCTCTGGGGAAGCAGAAACTGTCCCAAGTTCAGGCCATTCCAAACTTCCTGGAACCAATGGTTGGATGGTTTGAGGAGCATTGCATCCTGACTCCCTACCTGAGCCCTGACTCCTCCATCCAGCTCACCCAGCCTGTTAACCCCTGATATGCTCCCCCGCCCCCCCTGAGGTCATGGCTTTATCTCCCCTATGAGTGGGATGGGGTTAGGGTGAGGAGTCACTCACTCGAGGGTGCCAGCCCCCTGGCAGAGGTGCAAGGGGTGTTTCCCATCCTGGTCAGGGATGTCAGGGTCGGCTCCTGCCACCAGCAGCGCATGGACACAGGCAGTGTGGCCTGCGGCACAGGCCTCATGCAGGGCAGTGCGGCCCCCGGGGGCACTGTCTGGCTTTGCCCGCCGCCTCAGCAGCAGCTGCACCACATCCGCGTGGCCCCGGCTGGCTGCCACGTGCAGTGGGGTGGTCAGCTCCTCTTCGTAAGTCAGAGACCAGAGTCCTGGGGAGAGAGGAGACACCGGCCTCAGATCGTGGAGGGAAGCAAAGAGCTGCCAGGTAACAAGGGAGGTGGGCAGAGGGAGCCCAGAGCTCCATTCCCAGCCTCCCTTCTCCTGCTCAGACCCCCCAGTGCCCCTGGCCATACTCAGAGCACGAATGTTGAAGCGGTAATCCCTCCATCGCTCTGGGTCGCTGGTATCAAAGATGGAGTCTGGTGCCAGGCCAGCGCTGGAGTCGGCGAGGATGCAGGAGACGGAGCCCACGTCCCCGGCCAGCAATGCCTGCCAGAAGGCCAGGGCAGGTCCTGAGGCCGTGCGGGTGACGATGGGTCCTGGGCCAGACTCTGGGTGTTCTGCAGACCCACTGCTGGGCTTCTCCACCAGCCTGGCACAGAGGGCACGTCTGTCACCCGGAGGCTCTTCCCACCCCCTGCACTCACCTGGGGACCAGCTCATTAGGGCAGAGAGTGAGCATATGAGGAGGGGGTTCTAGGGGAGGAGAGGTTGGGGCCAAAGGCAGAGAGAGAAAAGGAAGAGAAACACAGACAGATGGAAGGAGAGGGTCTCTGTCCCTGAGCTGAGCCCGAGCTGAGCCTGACCCGGCC